AACAAAATCACAAAGGGGGGGGGTGTGTTCCAAAATACACACATACAAAAAACCGAAGGAGGGGTTCAACCCACAACCCCCCCCCCTCCCCCCTGCGTACGCGCCTGCCCCTTCATGTGATGTGACAAAGATAACTGATTCATGAATACAACAACAAATATGGAATATATAAAACTATTTACAAAATACTCTCAGAGAACAACTACCCAACGATGCATCGACCACAGCATGGATGACTACAACAAGTATACCCGAAGATGCGCACATCCCCATCACACCGGGTGAGCTAACAAACTCACCGTGTGTTTAAAAATATGTATCATATGAGCAAAAATAAACCCACCCATGCGAGGGCGATCCAATATGGACAAACCCAAGCTGACACCAAATCGAGACATCAATGAGTTATTGCTCTCTGAGTGCAGAGGTCAAGTAGGAATATATGAGAAGAAGAAAAAAAGAAAAGGGATCAAGGGGATTATGTCAAAGTCAAGAAATAACGAAAAATAAATCGAGAGTAGAGTTAAATATGGTACAGTACACCAAAAATAAAGTTTAATAACACATTTATGTGTCATCGACATACTTGTGAATATGAGCCTTCGTTAAAAAAAAAAAAAATGTAATCGTTTTCCTTATACATGTACCATGTTCATAGTAACGTCGATAGAGGCAAGTATTGATCAAATGCCTATTCAGAGGGTACATTGTACGCATCCGGCAAAGATTCGAACCCTCAACCTCCCGATTCAAAGTCAAGGACTTGAACCATGAACCATACACATTAAAATTGTTAAAGGAGAGAGTGTACATTCGCCACACTCTAATTTCAGATTACTCACTATAAATATGTTATAAAAATCAAATTTTCACCTGACTTTAACATAAAAACAAAACAACGAGTGCAGCACGAATGTATTAGACTAGTTATAATTATTTCTCTATCACCACAAATATGAAACATTTAAAGTATAATTTCTATATAAGAGAATACAAACAAACAAAAAAGAAAGGGGAATTTGACGTGTTTGGAAACCAGCAGAGCTACAAAAACAAACCTGTACACGGGCGTTTAGTAGGCCCCGGAATATATCATTATTTCATCTGATTTATTTCATCTATAAAAATGCACATATACCTTGTAAGGAATATGTAAAAAAAAAAAAAAAAAAAAAAACATTTGGACTTTGATAGAAAATGTTGGTATTATCTCGTATATTTTCTATTAAATTCCAGATTTTTTGACATATTGACGGATTGTTGAGAGGATCAAACCCCATTACCGTAATAGAAAAAGCAATATGTTGTACTAATGTCAGTATTGAAGGGGAAAACAAACCTGACCAAGTTTCATCATTGTAGCTCATGTGAATTGGGTAAACTAGTTTGATATGTTCTATTCATTGTCTATTATAACAAACAGCGTGAAAAAAAATTATCATTCAAGTTATGGTTCAGTATTTTGAGCCAATTAGAGATCTGCCACATTGTCACGTGGTAAATAAAGAGGTTTAATATACACATGTATCCCGTTTCCCGTATTCAATATCTTTTTCATGACTTTGAAGAACAAATCTCTCAAATGAAGTAGATGCAAGGGGCACGATGTATACAACACAAAACGAAAGGGAAAGGAAAAGTGAAAAGAAGTAAATAAAGTCTCCTGCCTCGTTCCCCCTCGTAGGTAGCCTCGACAATTTATACTTCATCCATCTAATAAAATTACTCCAAATCCCAGTAATGCCAGAGGCCCCGCTACACCACTGCCTAACTGAATTATTATATTCTTGTCTAGCTATCTCTTCGTGGTGCTATGTCTTGAGGGTATCGAGTCCATTTGTTTTGTCCTAACCTGAACGTTGGAGAAGAGAACAAGGTCACAATAAAGATATGTACAAAATATAAAACGGTGCTTTCCACGACTTGAAAATGAGTTAAGTGATTTAGTCATCCTTGCACAGTCAACGTGAGAAAAATGAGACTTTGTGTGACATTTCTGTACAACACGATGAAAGTGTAACTCGGAAAACAGAACTTTGTTCAAAATCAAGACTGAAACATTTTTGCGCAGACCAATTTTCACGAGCTTTTCGAAATTAGCCAGTGCTCACTCAAGCATAAAATGTTATCAATATTTTTAGTGCTATCCGTTTGAAAAGACCCTCACCCATAAGTAAGCAAACACATCGCACACAAAATCGTATAGTGCTCTTGCCAAAAAATGTTGGTCTTAATTTTGAAATAGGTACTTCTGCAAATTATTTATATATATAAACATATATTTATATTCAGGTAAAAATTATGAGAGCTCGGTTAGCAGAGATGTTGTGTTGTACTTGGTGTTTCCGGACTGTGAACCATAACGTACGGGCTTCGAATGCCTATTGCTGGACAAATGTACTTAAGCAAGACATTTATCTACATTCGACCAAGGTCACTGTGTAGGAAGGGGATACCTGGTAGGATTTATTCCTTGAATGCACCGAGCGCCTATATTTTCCGGAGCTAAAGAAGGGGTAAAACTATCCAAAGAGTATCCCTTAAGAGCGCATAGAGAGGTTATATCATTATGTGATACACGATTTACAAGAAAGGAAAACTAATATTGTAAGTATGAGGGTGGAGACATACCTGTTTGACAGTAATCTCCTTTGAAGCCTTCGGGACAGAAGCACTGGAAACCTCCATGGATGTCTGAACATGTGCCTCCATTCTGACAAGGGTTACTCAGGCACTTGTTGATATCTGGAAAGGAGCATTGTTCAATTAGTGAAAGTATTGAAAATATTGATATTCTTTCACCTCAAGATGGCTATAATAATGAACCTCCGGAATTGTGTGCCCTCTTTCATTTTTCTGAATTACGAAACTTTGGAGCAACGAACCTTGGGGAAAAACGAACCTTCGGAATGAATTTGAGGAATAACGAGCATTCTGAAATATGAACCTTCGTTAAAAAATATTTAAAAAACGACATGTAATCGTTTTTCTTATACATATACCATGTTCATAGTATCAAGCATCAAGTATCAAGTTTATTTGTCATCCAGAAAAACACATGTGAAAAAATATAATAGAGTATAATCATAACAGTACAATGTATAATAAAGAAAGACGAGGAGACCTTGGTTGAAGCACAGCTTGATATAAGTTAAGGCCCCCTCATGTGATGTGACAAAGATAACTGATTCATGAATACAACAACAAATATGGAATATATAAAGCTATTTACAAAATACTCTCAGAGAACAACTACTCAACGATGCATCGACCACAGCATGGATGACTACAACAAGTACACCCGAAGATGCGCACATCCCCATCACACCGGGTGAGCTAACAAACTCAACGTATGTGTGAAAATATGTATCATATGAGCAAAAATCAACCCGCCCATGGGAGGGTGATCTAATATGGACAAACCCAAGCTGACACCAAATCGAGACATCAATGAGTTATTGCTCTCTGAGTGCAGATGTCAAGTAGGAATATATGGTATATGTACAGATGGGAAAGAAAAAGAAAAAAAGAAAAGGGATCAAGGGGATTATATCAAAGAAATAACGAAAAATAGATCGAGAGTAGAGTTAAATATGCCCCCAGTACACAAAAAATAAAGCTTGATAACACATTCATGTGACATCGACATACTTGTGAATATGAGCCTTCGTTAAAAAATTTTTAAAAAAAACGACATGTAATCGTTTTCCTTATACATGTGCCATGTTCATAGTAACGTCGAGAGAGGCAAGTATTGATCAAATGCCTAGTCAAATGCCAGTGTACGCATCCGGCAAAGATTCGAACCCTCAACCTCCCGATTCAAAGTCAAGGACATGAACCATGAACCATACACATTAAAATTGTTAAAGGAGAAAGTGTAAATTCACCACACTCTAATTTCAGATTACTCTCTATAAATAAGTTATACAAATCTAATTTTCCCAGTAGTGATAAACATCACCTGGCTTTAACATAAAAACAAAACAACGAGTGCAGCCTGAATGTGTTAGACTACATATAGAAATATTATTTGTTATATATTATTTCTCTATCACCACAAATATAAAACATTTAATATATAATTTCTATATAAGAGAATACAAACAAACAAAAAGAACAGGGGAATTTGACGTGTTTGGAAACCAGCAGACCTACAACAAAAAAACAGTTCATGGGCGTTTAGTAGGCCCCGGAATACATCATTATTTCATCTGATTTATTTCATCTATACAAATGCACATATACCTTGTAAGGGATATGTAAAAAAACAAAAACATTTGGACTTTGATAGACAAATTTCGGTATTATCTCGTATATTTTCTATTCAATTCCAGATGTTTTGACATATTGACGGATTGTTGAGAGGATCAAACCCCATTACCGTAATAGAAAAAGCAATATGTTGTACTAATGTCAGTATTGAAGGGGAAAACAAACCTGACCAAGTTTCATCATTGTAGCTCATGTGAATTGGGTAAACTAGTTTGATATGTTCTATTCATTGTCAATTATAACAAACAGCGTGAAAAGAATTATCATTCAAGTTATGGTTCAGTATTTTGAGCCAATTACAGATCTGCCAAATTGTCACGTGGTAAATATTCAAAAATAGAGAGGTTTAATATATACATGTATCCCATTTTCCGCATTCGATATCTCTTTTATGACTTTAAAGAACAAATCCCTCCTATGAAGTAGATGCAAGGGGCACGATGTATACCAAAAAAAAAAGGGAGAAAGGGAAAGGAAAAGTGAAAAGAAGTAAATAAAGTCTCCTGCCTCGTTCCCCCTCGTAGGTAGCCTCGACAATTTATACTTCATCCATCAAATAAAATTACTGCCCATCCCAGTAATGCCAGAGGCCCCCGCTACACCACTGCCTTACTGAATGATTATATTCTTGTCTAGCTATCTCTTCGTGGTGCTATGTCTTGAGGGTATCGAGTCCATTTGTCTTGTCCTAACCTGAACGTTAGAGAAGAGAACAAGGTCACGTATCACAGGAGCCGATCTAACATCCATAGAAGATCTGTATCAGAAAAATGCCCTTTTTAAAGTAAAACAAATAATGCATGACCCCTCGCACCCACTGAATGAGTACTTCAATTATAACAGATCTGGAATACGCCTGTGCACACCACGAACACAACGTGCACGTTTCCGAAGATCCTTTATCCCCGACTCCATTCATCTTTTCAATGCCAAAGCAAATCATGTTTGATTACTATGAACCTACCATGTAATGTATCAATATATTTGCCATGAATACTGCATCCAACTATCTACTAACATATGAGCCAGTAACTACAATATATGTGTCATCAATAAACGTAACAATAATAACGATGCCGGTATTAACTATACTACTGAAAATGGTAATCGATAATAATAATAATAATAATAATATTAATAATAATAATAAATAATAATTCATGTATTTATTATCATTTTAAGATTTACTATGGAATAATCAATAAATATTAAATAATTTAGCTTCATATTTTGTAAAATGAAATATGATATTATCTCTATAACCACCATATATACCGTGGCTTACTCACATATTATCTCATTCTCTATGTATGTTGATCATAATGTTTATGTTTATCATTGTCCTGTAATATTTCATGTATATATTTGTATTGTAATACTCTGTAACCAGTGGAAAACAAATTTCCTGTAAAGGACAATAAATTATTATACTTATACTATACTTATACAATAAAGATATGTACAAAATATAAAACGGTGCTTTCCACGCCTTGAAAATGATTTAAGTGATTTAGTCATCCTTGCACAGTCAACGCGAGAAAAATGGGACTTTGTGTGACATTTCTGTACAAAACGATGAGAGTGTAACTCGGGAAACAGCCCTTTGTTCAAAATCAAGACTGAAACATTTTTGCGCAGACCAATTTTCACGAGCTTTTCGAAATTAGCCAGTGCTCACTCAAGCATAAAATGTTGTCAATATTTTTAGTGCTACCCGCTTGAAAAGACCCTCACCCATAATAAGGCATACACATCGCACACAAAATCGTACAGTGCTCTTGCCAAAAAATGTTGGTCTTAATTTTGAAATAGGTACTTCTGCAAATTATTTATATATATATAAATATATATTTATATTCAGGGAAAAATTATGAGAGCTCGGTTAGCAGAGGTGTTGTGTTGTACTTGGTGTTTCCGGACTGTGAACCATAACGTACGGGCTTCGAATACCTATTGCTGGACAAATGTACTTAAGCAAGACATTTATCTACATTTAACCAAGGTCACAGTGTAGGAAGTGGATACCTGGTAGGATTTATTCCTTGATTGCACCGAGCGCCTATGTTTGCCGGAGCTAAAGAAGGGGTAAAACTATCCAAAGAGTATCCCTTAAAGGCGCATAGAGAGGTTCTATCATTATGTGATACACGATTTACAAGAAAGTAAAACTAATATTGTAAGTATGAGGGGGAGACATACCTGTTTGACAGTAATCACCTTTGAAGCCTTCAGGACAGAAGCACTGGAAACCTCCATCGATGTCTGAACACGTGCCTCCATTCTGACAAGGGTTACTCAGGCACTCGTTGATATCTGGAAAGTAGCATTGTAGCAAATTATTTATATATATAAATATATATTTGTATTAAGGGAACAATTATGAGAGCTCGGTTAGCAGAGGAGTTGTGTTGTACTTGGTTTTTCCGGACTGTGAACCATAAGGTATGGGTTTCGAATGCCTATTGCTGGACAAATGTACTTAAGCAAGACATTTATCTACATTTCGTCCTTGTTTTGACCAAGGTGTAGGAAGTGGATAGCTGGCAGGATTCAGGATTTATTCCTTGAATGCACCGAGCGCCTATGTTTGCCAGAGCTAAAGATCGGGTAATAGCATCCAAAGAGTATCCCTTAAGGGCGCATAGAGAGGTTCTATCATTATGTGATACGCGATTTACAAGTAAGGAAAACTAATATTGTAAGTATGAGGGGGAAGACATACTGTTTGACAGTAATCCCCTTTGAAGCCTTCGGGACAGAAGCACTGGAAACTTCCATGGATGTCTGAAAATGTTCCTCCATTCTGGCAAGGGTTACTTTCTGGAAAGTAGCATTGTTCATTTAGTGAAAGTAATGAAAATATTGATATTCTTTCACCTCAAAATGGCTATGATATTGTCATCAGTTTTTGGTGATTTGGTGGAGAAAAGCAACAAATTTGCAAAATACCTCGTGGATTTTAAAACTTTATGAAGTGATGAAGATCAATTATGTTTTAGTTGTTTATCTTATTTGTTTATCAATTACCTGTCGTGCTTTTTTCGTCAGAAAACTTCCCTTTTAAAACTATTTCAACGTATTTCGAGTTTAAAAGAGTTTTCCATGTTTGTTTTTATAGATTAATGAATAAGTCTATTAATGTTTAAATGTTAGAAAAAGATACATATCTCACCTTCAGTCCTTTCTGCTGTTAGATTCACCAAGAATCCACTTCCCATAAGCGAACCGACCGCTCTACTGGAGTCCCCAGTATCCGACATAAATCTAAACCACAATCCTCGAGTGGGGGAGGTAATATCTTCAGGCAATTCACTTCCAGTCAACTCCACTAGGATTGTGGGCATTAAAGGACTCGAGCCGTAGCCCACGGCAAGCAAAGAACCGTTGGTGAGGTTAAAGAAGTCGAAACGCGCCCTCACGCTGTGATCCTGAGGAGCCATTATCCGCCAAATCTCGTGCACGCTGTCCTTTGCACCAAGAGGAAAGTCTGGTGAGCGGAGCTGTTGGACCGTAGACTCGTTCACCAAGATTAGAGGATTATCATCTGTTACCAAAAAAAAAGGATAACACTAAATGTGGCAGAAATACAGGCATGTCTTTTCCTATAAAAAAAGACATACGAAAATAAATTGAGAAATTGTATGTTTGTTGTGAAATAATTTTAAGATCATCTGATCATTCTGAAGATTTTAAAATCCCTAGAATTTCAACATGACACGAACACGATCTTATTACCTCTCGGATCCACAGCGTTCAGTGTTGCCATGAATCCAACGTCAGTCAGTCCGGAGTCACTCTTGAATTTGAGCCACATATGGCGATCATGTGACTTCACAGTTGTTTTTAACCCATAGCCCGTGAGCCTCGCAAGCTCTGTGTAACTCAGTGGCGTCAGTCCATCGCCCACAAACAAGCTGTCGTAGTTAAATTCGGTAGCGAAGTCGACGATGTCCAGCCTGACGCTGTGGTTAACAGGGGCCGATACCTGCCAGACGATGTTATCGCCGATGTCGTAGTTGGAAGGGTAGTTTGGAGAAGTGATGTTCACTGGGACGGCACGCTCAAGGGTGATTTCAATAACACCCGGTGTTATTGCTGAAAGAAATATAAATTTAACCAGAATACTTATGATTTGTTTTTGTTTAATCCAATGAATAACGCCAAAACATATTTTTGAGACCATAATTTCAAGACGGAAAATTGAACCTTGAAGTATGACTAATGTGAACTTATAATCGGAAGAATTCGGACTCCTATCGAAGGGCAGGTTGATGTGCTGGCCAGAGGGCCACTTCACTTCACAACTGCTGCTTCCAAACTGTGGAATAACCTACCAATCTCTTCGTAACCACCAATCTGTCAATACCTTCAAAAATGATCTCAAAACTTTACTTTTCTGTTAAAAATATAACTGTAAAGCGCATTTGAACATGTATAATTATGAAAAATGCGCTATATAGATACATTATTATTATCATTATTATTCACGGTCAAAGGGGCCAGTTGATCAAATACAATAATGGGAACCAGAAGGCTTCAGAAAGCTACAATTGGCCAGTCGCACATACATTCCTTGGTTTAACCTTTAGCCGAAGTCCTCTCCATAAAATTCCAAAATATTTCTAGGAATCAACTCCTCATCAATTTCAATGGCATGTAGAAAATCATTGGATTTTGTAATACGCCATTGTAATGCAAGCACATTTCAGTAGGTGGTAGACAAAGGCTTTTAAAATTGCCGTGTATTGTTTTTTTATGTTGTTGTTGTTGTTGTTGAAATTCTTCCGATCATGATTCTACTACACAGGTGTACTCACCTCCTGAAACCACAGCTGTAATAAATGACTGGAACTGTGAGATTCGGGTGTAGACGCCGGGCAAGTCTACTCCTTTGCATACTCCTCCAAATCCGACCAGATGCCATCGACCATCATCACCCTCACAGGTCAAAGGCCTGCCGCTGTCTCCCTGATTTTTGTAATAATAAACACGAGATAATCAAATTGAATTGGATGACTTCCAAACTAAAAAAATATCCGACATAGGCAGGCACGTAGCGACAGGGGGGGGGGGGGGGCACGTGCCCCCCCCCCAAATTCCAAGATCGGTTGAACTTTTTTAGACCCCTTTTTTACCTCGATCGATTACATGTATGTGCCCCCCCCCCTAAACATCAAACTCTGGCTACGGGCCTGAACATAGGACCACACACATGTGTAGCTTTCGAAAAAGTACATGTATTCGAAACCTGGCAGTTTGATATATATTTCAGGGGTCTGTAAGTCAGTGTGTCCAAATTCTGAAACAAAGACAAAAAGGATATAAAATTGAAAATTACTGAGTAAAAAAAAATACCACGGCAGTCAGTGTCACCGTCATGAGGGAAACGGGAGTACAGCCCAAATAATCGGTCTAATGAAAATAAAATATGATGGGAGAGCAGAAAAGCAACTTGGGTAAAAGGTAATGACTCAATCCTATGCCCTTATCTCCTTCCATGCTGTCGTAGTACTGGAAATTCGAAGGTCATGGGTTTGACTCCCGGCAAGGCACTGATGTCCTTTGACAAGGCAGTAATCTACATCTGCCACTCCATACCCAGGATTGAATGTGAACACTGTAGGAGCACGAAGCCTGTGTGATAGTTATTGCGTTATGCCCTCACGGTGACCCTGTGGTAGGAATACTCCCCAAAGAGTGGAGATGCTGCACATTTTGCGTATGAATGAATCCAGTGTCCGGGATAATAATATTTTTAAAGCGCTTAGACACGGTATTTTGTCTTAAGCACTATCCATGTATAAATCTAGATTTTTCATTATATTCATTTTTAGTAGTAGTAGTAGAAGTGTAAGTAGTAGCAGTAGTAGTAGTAATAATAGTAGTAATAGTAGTAGTAGAAGTAGTAGTAGTAGTAGTAGTAGTAGTAGCATTCTTTTAATTCAAACCTCATAACAGTTGCCTATTGTGTCCGATACCGACGCCCCCATGACACCTGTGCCCCCCTCGCATGGTTAACACTCAGTATACGCCATAGATAGCAGTTACCTTACAAGTATCAATTCCACCTGGCTGATGTTCAGCACATATCATTTCTTCTGTCAGAGTCCCGTTGTAGGAAAGTTCAGAATTGCACCAGTCTTGGTCAAGAAGTGTCAATACTGCTTTTTTCAAGCTCTCTGTCAACGCTGCGAAATATTAAAGTAAATCATTGTTTACATATTCTGTAAGCAAAATAATTTCAAGTCAAATTATCATCAAACGTTTGAAACCATTTAAAGAGTTATAGAAAGGTAGAGTAGATTCAGCACTGCTATTTAGCATGATTTTTAATTTTTAAACCATCCAATAAATACATTAATTAATAATAATTAGGTGAATAAGGGTATCAAGTTAGGTGGATGAAATCATATTGGTTATAATTTTTCAGATCTACGTGAAGAAGAACTACTGAAGAGCATGTTCAAAGCTTCCCTGTTTGAAAGAGGCCTTTTGGATATCACATTTCTTTCAATCAGATAACCTAGAGAATTGATTGGCTAAAGGTTTATTCATTATTGTTTGTCTGTTTAGTAGCACTGTCAGGATTTTTTGTTCATTACAGAGCAGTAGAGTCGCTGCGCTATATACATTAATGTAATTATTATTATCATTATCAAATATAAGTAAAGCAGTACATACGTGGGCCATCCAGTGTAATTCCCCATCCAGCGACGAGGCAGCGATGATAGTCCTTGAGTTCATCCGAGGATTCCGACAGACACGCGGGTCTAACGTAGTCACTGAATGTCACCGGTTCAGCAAGTCGTATCAGAGCGATGTCGTTGAAGAGCCAATAAGAGTCGTACTCGGGATGGACGAAAATATCAGCCACCTCAACCGCTACCTCGTTGTCGGAGTTATCCGTCAAGTGTGCGTTCCCAAAAACCACACGATCGACGTAGTAATCACTATAAATGATAGTGGATTTAAATCAGTGATTTTTACTAGGGCGAAATATAATCATGTATATCAAAAGGACATCTCAACGGAGCTGCATTTATTTGAGCATGATATATATTATATATTAACTGTAGTTTCATACATGTACATCATGATTTCATTATATATTACAAACGTTGTATCTGCTATGTCTCACAGGGGAATTAACTAGCTCCTGATACATCAGACGTTATACGGTCATGTAAATGTAAGTCCCTAAATTAAACATAATTCTGTAACAACACTGAAGTGAAATCCCGTCATCTGGTAGTTATAGTCGGAGGGGGTATAGTAACGCTGCCGTCCGTCCTTCCGTAACAAATCTGGTTCCCGATCGATAACTTTAGTAATGTTTGACGGATTTTAATGAAATTTGATATGAAGGTACATGGTATCAAAACACAACCTAAGTTCGATTTCGGAGTATGTAGGTCAAAGTTCATAGCTCATTAAATATGCGAATCTGGTTTCCGTTCGATAACTTTAGGAATGTTTTACGGATTTTAATGAAATTTGATATGAAGGTACATGCATGAAAATACAGCCTAAGTTCGATTTCGGAGTATGTAGGTCAATGTTGAATGGTCATAACTCTATGCGAAAATACATAATTGTTATGCGAAAATGTGGTTAACTTCCTTGCCTAATAATATAATAGTATATTCTAATGGAGGTAACTTGTTCTGACGTATTAGGCCATTATACCCTGCAAGGGGATGCTATGCTTTGGGTTAACTTTTTCTATTTATTTCATACATACATACATACATACAATTACTTTTCATATAGCGCAAAGTTCAATAAAATGTTGCTTAATGCCTTTTACATGATATTGTAATTGGGTTGATCTGTTCTAAAGAACGGATATATAATTGGGTGTACAGATATTGACTACTAGTGATACTTTATATATATATCTTCATGACTATGATTATTTAGACGAAAACTCAGTGCATAATTTGTTTAGTTCTAGTACATGCACTCTAGAGGTAAACACGTTCGCTTCTATATAAATTAAACTAAGTAAATATCCCTGGGAAGGTAAGGTGTCAATTTGCTTTCATTTCCACAGAGCAAACGATTTAATAGTGGCATCATACTTACACACAGTGAGCGGCGGTAAGAACCCATTGAGAGTTGATCAGGGTAGACCCACACCAATGTCCTCCAAAATCCAATCCTTCGATGCGGAGTGAACCAATCCAAGGGAATTCCCCTTGGCGTGCGTTGGTACCACCAAGAACCCTGTATTGGTCTGGTGCGTATGCAGGGCGTGTCCCGCATATGTTGGTATCGAAAATATCTGGGGGAGGGATAAAGTCGCAAGTCAGTGGCACAACGACGGGAAGGGAAGGGGCATCCACCCATTTCGAATAGCACCCCTTTGCCTCCCCCAAAGCAAATGAAACAAAACAAAGCATAAATCGAAAATAAAATGAAAAGAGGAGGGAAAAGGATGCCCGAAGAAGATGATAGACCACCTTTGGATACCCTCCAATCCACCTCCTTTTTGGATGCTGATTTTCATTTTTCTCTAAAAACCCACTTGGCAGTAAGATCAGTGCCGCCATCCCCATCTTATAGCTACACGCCACTGTCACATGTGATGAATTCAATAGAACATGCTGACATCTTTTCTTCGGTTTTATGAACTATCATTTATAAACACTTAGTGCATCTTGTTAAGTCCAATCATATTCTTAACTCGATATCATCTACATGAATATGGCTGCATGGTCTTTACCTCCCGCAGGGCCAAAACAGCTCCCATCTTCCTCCTGTTCATCGGTAAACATGGAACAGTTGACGGGCCAAGGAGGGTCGAGGAGTTGCTCAAAGGATGCCTTGCAGGCATCAGTGACTGCCAAACAGTCGGAGTAGCACACCCGATGGGTGGGGCCGTTATGGGTGCATTCCGGATAGTAAACGGAGCACATGAAGGGGATCAGGTGATCATGGCACGATGATATAGTAGCTTCCTATGGTAGGTCATTAGAAAGTATAAACTTTGAGGATTTCACGTCAGGATTGTCAAAGGCAATTGCAACGTAGATGTGTATGGTACATCAACAACGTCAGTGTAGCCAGCAGCTCTTGCAAGTGGTAGGGGTGGACCACACTTGTGCCGACAAATATAACATAAATTATGTATTTTCAGACAAACAATAAATATTACATCAAAAAAGATCTTCAACATATTTTCAGTCGTTACGTCTCTGAAATATACATTCTTCTGTGTGATTGTCCTTACTACCATGCATATCCCCTCGAAAAGAATCACTCACACAAAAAACTAAATTATTTAATGCGTATTAACAAATACCAAATTCATTGGTTGATATGCAGGTCAATAATCGTAGTAAGGCAATGTTTTACTGAAGTTAAAACTAATTAATTAATCGTTCCTGGCATTATCTATGAAAATCATCAACAAGCTCGACATAACCCACCATTAATAAAGAATCAACTGAAAAATATTTAAAAAATAAAACATCGAAAAGACTCTCTGATGCTTACAATTTCTGTAAAGCTTTCTGCCGCAGCATCCGCTGTCTCTGCGTTCCCATTCGGGAAAAACGTCACACTGTAGGCCAGGTTCTGTCTACATTTATCAAATTGAACTTGTTCGCAGTACGCTGGGTAGGAGAAAAATAGATCAATGAAGGATAAAAAACAGCGATGACATGTCAAAGAAATCATGAACGCAGACAACATATAGACACATTAACAGCAAAAAGAAATTGACATCAAAATAATTCGACTGCTGAAGGTCATGAAAGGCTTAATGTGTATGGGGAACTGGTAAACAAAACTCAGGGAAAAAAAAACCTCTCTCTAAAGTAAAAATCCAGAAGTATATAAACTCCCTCAATATATAGAGATAACATAGAAATTCATGGATAGGTGTGCAATACAATTTAAGAAATGTAAATTTTATGTAACTACATGTATAAAGATAGGCATTAATTGAGAAGCGAATGTAAACGTTAAATCCAAACTTACGACAGTATTCCTCATCTGAGAAATCGAGACAGTCGTTATTTCCGTCACACCTTGCCGATTCGCTGATACACAGTCCACTAGAACATTGCATTTGACTGCTACTGCATTCTGTAATGAAGTATTTAAAGTATTCAAGGAATAAATTTCTACCGGGTTGCCATTTACTATGTCTGGAAGGATATTAACAAGGGTAGATTAATGTCTTGCCAAAGGATATTAGTGCCTCAGCGGGACTCGAAACGCAAACCATATGATCCACAGTCCGGTGACGAATCCACAAGACCACGACACCTCTTAAGAAGCAGAACATATGGCTAATATGATCTTACCAGGGTTTAGTATAGCTGTGACACGAAGACTGAAGCCAACATCAACCCTTGAGACATCCGTGGTGAACCTGGCCCACATAGAGTGACCGGGTGTAGCGAGTTCACTGGAATAGTTATACCCAGTCAGTTTCTGAAGCTCCCAAGAACCAGGTTCATTGGGACCAGGCCCAGAACCAATGTACAAGTAATCGTAGTCCGTCTCTAGGGCCAGGTCTAGGATCTGTATCTGGAGGATGTGACCCTCTGGAGCCGTGAGTACCCAAGTAAGGTCGAGGTTCGAGTCGTAGTAGGATGGATAGCCGGGTGAAGATATGACGGTGATTTCGTTCCATTCAAGTTCTATTACAGTGATGCTGGTATCTGTGCAATGAATTCATAATAATAATAATAATAATAATGATAATAATGATAATAATAATAATAATAATAATAATAATAATAATAATAACAATAATAATAACTAGAAATTTAATTCGTCATTAGGTGGTCTGTCTTCAAGTCTAATGATCAAGCTCATCTTCAATTCAATTGTCCAATATAATGATGTCAATGTTAAATGATGTATTAAGATATGAATTGATGAATGAAGTACTGATGAAAGGATGAACTGATAGATTGAACTGATGTGAAATGAACTGAATTGATGAGCTAAACTGATGAACTGATGAACTGATGAACTGATAGATTGAACTGTGACATGAACTGAAGTGATCACTTAACTGATGAACAAAATATCGAGAAATGATTATGATCATTGTAAAATTTAATGAAATAAGAAATGATGTACATATGCGACAAAGTATTGGGAAATTAACTCCTTGATGATCATGATGATGAATGAATGATGATGATTATGTGATGATCATACTGATAATGATGATGATCATGATAATGTTGATGATAATGATGATGATGGTCATGATGATGATGATGATGGTAATGATGATAACGATGATAATGACGATCATGATGATAATGATGATCATGAGCGTGATCCTGACATCTTAATGAAAAAATGAGGGGTGATTTAGATAGCATATAGGCTCAGCTACAAGATACTCCAAAATCAACAAAATCCAAGCAGAAAGAACGGGTATATTGCTCGCAAAAGACATGAATATAGAATCCAGATTTGAGAAAAAGTCATCTTCCATAGGGATTACACGCAAAAAGTAATGGATCAAGTGGTAATAGGGTAATAATGAAGTAAATATGGTTGTTAATTCCATTATTTGCGATTCTACGTGTTTAAATATTCAAAGGAAATGGTACAGTGAAAGGTCAAAAGAAAACAAATGAAGACAATTTTTTTTGGAGAAGCCCGAACTCGAACCAGGGGTGTCGAGGTCGGAAGTCACGTGCGTTACCGATATACCAAAACATTTCCCATAGCGATTACACGTGAGCGGAAATTGGAATTATCAAATCACACATTGCAAGTAAAATATGAGCATGATCCCGGCATCTGAACGAAGATTTAAGGGCACATTTGTGATAGCTTATTGTCTCAGCTACAACATACTTGAAGCTCAGCGAAAACAAAGCTAAAACAACGGAGATATTGCTCGTGAAAGACGGGAATGTAGAATCCAGTTTTGAGAAAAAGTCATGACCCATAAAGAATACACGAAAAATGAGAAAAATTGACATATCTCCTTTAATCGCAAAAATACGCCATGATGCCTTTGTCAAAATAAAAGATCGTGCCATCTGCATTTGTAGAAAATAGTCTTAGCTAGAACATATCAAAATTTGGAAGAAAATCGATCAATATTTACAGAGATACAATCAATTTTCTGCAAATATGCTGACGTCATAATATGCAAATTGAAATTTTGACTTTGGATGCCATTATGATGACGTCATGAGTTAATTGAGGGTCAAATGAGACATGAATTTATATCTCCGACCCATACTTTATCAAGATATGAAAAAAAAATTGGGGTCACCATGCACCCTAAAGAGCTACAATGGATTTTGTATAGGCATATTTTTGCCCATATATGCTATGTATTACAAGAGCTCGCACGCACGGCATGTATCTTAAACGGACGTTCATTCCGGGATTGATGGTCAGAAAAGGTGAACAAGGTATCAAAGTGCTTGGAAAAATGTGTCAAATATGATGATAGAGAAATTTCGGCGATTTTATTTTGCAAAATATCAGTACCCGGAAAAACGCGCACGCATGTGCGTGTGCGCTTTTTTTTTTGCGAAATGCTTAATAATATAGCCTGAAACGTATGCAAAATGAATTTGAGACGATTTAGAGCATTTTGAAATTTTGCGCGCGCGCTCACGAGCGGACGTACGCATGCGCGCGCGTGTTTTGACCTGAAATTGACCGGACGGATATTGACATAGGTCAAGGTTGAAAACCTTACTGTGCTCTTTCCTCATGCCAATACATATGTGTGCCAAATTTCAAGGTATTTGATCGAGCCATTTTCAAGTTATCCTGCTAACAAAAAAGTGGGTCGAAATAAGGAAAATATTTGAACGAAAACATATGGTGTTCTGTATTATATACAGCCCACCTGATAAAGAGAAATCGTGACGTAATCCATAGGTGATACATATTACTAACTACGCAAAGTTCTACAGAAATTTGCAATTTCAACTTTAAATTGAAAATTTCGACATGATCCCAACATCTGATTAAAAAACAAAAGACACAACTTTTATAGCCCATAGTCTCAGCTGTAACATACTAAAATTTGGGAGAACATAGAGCACAAATAAGCTATATAGTGCTCAAAGATTAATGTCATGTAGATCCATGATTTGAAAGAAGTTGGCACCTTCCATAGACTTAACACGCAAATTAAGAAAATCTGTCAAGTTACCTTTATTCGCAATTTTCACTATGATGACGTCATCAAAATGAAAAATAATGTGTAGTAATTTTGTAGACAATTGCCTCAACTACAAGGTTGCAACATTAGGAAGAGATTTGATTAATATTTACAGAGATACAATCAATTTTCCATAAACATGCTGACGTCATAATATGCAAATTCGTATTTTGAGTTCCAAGGTCAATATGATGATGACACGATATACTTAATGGCCAAATGTGACATGAAATCACATTTCCGACTCATACTCTATCCGAATATGAAAACAAATTGAGGATTCCCGTGCATCCCAAAGAGCCATAAGGGTTTTTTATAGGAATGTTGTTGCCCATATATGCTATGTATTACAAGAATTCGCGCGCACAGACATTTATCTTGAACGGACGCTCATTCCCTAATTAATGGTCATAAAGAGATAAACATGGTATCAAATTGTCCGAAAAATATGAGGAATACTGTGTCCAAAAAAAATCTAGGAGGAATTATTTTGCGTTCGGCCGAGACAAACGAAAACGTGCGCGCGACTCTTTATAAAATGCAATTGCTAATAATGGCGTGCGCGCGCGTTTTTGGACCTGAAATTGACCGGACTGATATTGACCTTGATCATGATAGATATGAATGAGAAAAACCTTTCCGTTATGAAGATATGATCATATGTTGATTTTCACAAAATGGCGCCTAGATGACGTTATCAGTCAAGGTCAAGGTTGAAAACCTTACTGTGTTTTGTCCATATGCCTATACATATGTGTGCCACATTTCAAGGCATTTGATTGAGCC